ACCAGGCTACTCAGCGGTCGTCCCAGGGTTACACCTTCAGTCTTGGTTCTGGCTCTGTTTCGTGGCGGGCTACTCGCTCGTCCTCTGTTCTCGGCTCCAGTTGTGAGGCTGAGATCTACGCCGGGGCCATGGCTGCACAGGAGCTTCGCTGGCTCACCTACCTGCTGACCGACCTTGGAGAGTCGCCTCGTTCTCCTCCAGTGCTGTACGTAGACAACAAGGCCATGCTGGCCTTGTGTCGTGAGCAGCGCCTGGAGCACAGAACGAAGCACATTGCTTTCCGCTACTTTCTTGCTCGTGAGCTGCAGCAGCGTGGTCAGTTCCGACTTGCGTACGTGGCCTCTGAGGCCAACACTTCTGATGTTTTCACCAAGGCACTTGCGCCTTGTGATCATCAGCGCTTCTGCACTCAGCTGGGACTTGTCCCAGTCTTGCCTCACTTGCTCACCTCTTGACCTTGCTTGTACTTTTACATATATATATATACTTGCTCTTGCTTATTTAGTCTTATATATATATATATCTGTCTACCCCTGCATGTGAACTGGCCTTGTGGCCTTGACCTTGTGCTCGGACTGTGTGGTGACTTTGTGATCCACCCTGAGCTTGCTTTGCTTTGCTTTGCTTGACTGGTCTTGTGACCCCTTGTTCTCCCCCACTTTGCCTATGGGGGTGTGTCAGAACATATAGCTTTTGCATATTGTGTAGGCTATAGTGGGGTAGCCCACAAGGGGTACAACCCAATTAGGGTTAGTACTTGTACTCAGTTCATTCATAGTTCATTCATTCTCGTTCTCATTTTCTCACTCCTTGCTTAGACATGTGATTTAGGACCAGTCAGTGGTCGCTAGTAAAAAAAACTGGGAAGCCCCCCTAGACAATGCACGGAGAATCGAACCACAATTTTGGCGCAATTCAGGCATGGCCTTACGACCCGGTCGGGTTTTGTTACCCAATCTGACCCGGCTTTTGGCCGGGTCGAGTTAGGGGGTATGGATGCCCCGACCTGGCCGGGTCGCCTCAGGGGGTATGGATGCCCCTGACCTGGCCGGGTCGGGTCAACCTGCTAATGCCGAAATTGGGTCAAGATTCAAAACTCGTCGGCTAGACTGCATTACGTTTGTGCGCATCTGCTGTGCATCGGGCAGACAGAAAAAATACATGCTGGCTAAACTGTAGGAGGAGGCGTAGGAGAGATTGTGGATAGAAAAACTGAAATTCGTACAGGAGTCGCCAAATTTGTGAACAATGTCGTCTCCAATCAATCCCCCCTCCCTTTACCGATCTTCATCGCACTGCTTCTAGAAAATTCAACCAATTGAGATATGAATTTTGGATAGACAAGGCCATTTCTAGATCTAGATAAACTTGACCTCGTAAGTATCATAGGCCTATGGTATATGCCATACCTATATTTCGAATTACCTGAAACCCGAAACCCTGAACTTTGAAGAGCATTGCTCCTCAAAGTTCCCAAATTACAAAAGCGCTTCTTTCAAATTCGTTAAATTCCATGAGATAACCACCCCCACATACGTTTCTAAACAATCATAGTTTTTTGCACCACCTGAAACCCCTTTTTGCGAATCTGACATCACAAAAATCAACTATCTGAATACTATACATGATGTGTGTTTGAAGACTTTGTTCGAATGTTTTCAAAATGTAGGGGTTCAAACTTTTTTAGAAGAAAGTATCGAACTTGTTTCAAATGATGTGTCAGATGATTTTCGTATGATTGGCAGGTTCTGAAATGGTTCTGAATACATGCGAGGGAAGTTCTATTGGGGTTTTGGAAACCTTGTTATGGACATGTTGGCGACACCTATTGACATTTATGCGGTGTAAAAATGGTGCTTTGCTGTGTTTTGTTACATGTTTGAATTGGATTTCGACATAGTTTAGCAGAGTGTCAATGCCTGTAAATTATACAGTTGGAAGAGAGCATCATGTATGTTTTTTTACCTTGTACACAGCCATAATTACACCTTGCACAAGGTTCGATAATGCCTCGACCCAACACCAAACATCCTTTTCCATGGATCCCACCGACATACGATGTGTGCTCGCAAAAAACAGAAAAATAGGAATTAAAAACGCTACAACATTCCTTTTGCTTCATATCCCTGCATCTAGTCTCCTACTGTCACATTGTCACTGCCTTTTACTGGTAATCTGACTTGCTGTTGCAATCCCCTACTCGTCTCCAATCGCACTAGTTGGCCTGGAGTTCCTAACTGCTGTGACCTATGCTGCCCCTTCTTCGCTTTCCCAAATGCTCTGTGTCTACTCTACTCCCCTGGCTGCTGTGACTGCTCTTCTTCCCACTCTTGTGACTGCTCTTCTTCCCCCGCTGCTTCCTCAACTTTGCTCCCCACCTGTTGTGACTACTAAGCTTGACCCGCTGCTGTGATTCTTCGCCTCTCCCACTGAATACATTCTCTTCTCCCACTGCTGCCCCTTCTTCGCTCCCCCCCTTGTTGTGACTTCTTTGTTCCCTCCTTGCTGCCCCTTCTCTGCTCCCCACACTGCGGAGACCTTTGCTCCCCAGCTGCTGCCCTTTCTATTCGTCCCCCACTGCTCAGTGACTACTCTACTCCCCTGGCTATTGTTTATTTGGAGCTCCCCCCACTGTTGTGACTACTCTCCTTCCCCGCTGCTGCCCCTTCTTTGCTCCCCCCTATTGTAACTACTCTGCTTGACAAGCTGCTGCCACTCCTCTGCTCCCCCCACTGCTCCCCCTTCTCCACTCCCCCCACTGTTGTGATTACTCTGCTCCCCCTGCTGCCCCTTCTCCGCTTCCCCAAATGCTCTGTGTCTACTCTGCTTCCCGCACTGCTGCCTCTTTGGAGCTCCCCCCACTGTTGTGGCTGCTCTTCTTCCCCCGCTGCTGTCCTTTTCCGTTCCCACCTTGCTGTCATTACTCTGCTTGACCCGCTGCTACCCCTTCTCCGCTCATCCCACTGCTGTGACTGCTCTACTTCATCTGCTGCTGGTCCTTCTCCCATACCCCCTCTGTTTTTATTACTCTGATTTCCTGTTTGCTGTTCCACTGCAACACACTCCACTCCTGCTCCTCCCAGCATCACAGCACTGCTGCCCCCAAGAAAATACCTACTGCCTCTCACAGCTGCCATACCCCGCTGCTCCGCTGCGGTCTCACAGCTCAACATAGCTTCCCTTTTTGCTGTCCATCTCATACTCTCCCTACTGCTACTCCTCCACAGCACACCCCACACCAGTTCTGCAGCTTACCCCTCCACTGCTGCGTCACCGTGTCTCCCCACTCCACCTTTCTCTGCCTCTCGCACTGTTTACAACCCGCTGCTCCTCTTCGTTGCAACTTCCACTCTAGTTCAGTCAAGCAACCACCCTCCCCACCGGAGTGCGGGTGCTTGGTGTGGCCCTATACTCCTCAAAGCCCGACTCGTGGACAAAAAGGCCAAATGGCCCCCATTCGAAACCCTTCATGCGGGGGTTGTAGGTCGGACTGGCCTGGGTGAAGTGATCCCTCACCACCCTTTTCACAAGGGCGCGGATGCTTGTCACCCATTTGGTGTTCTTACGGTGGGAGTTGGTGAGGTTCATTGTCGTCTTGTTTGTCTTTGACAATCCGTAATCGATCTGTACAGTGATGGAGTTTGGAGGGATTTGTGGATCATGTTTCAAAGGGGGAAACAGTGAAGTATTGGGAGCACCGTGCATGGCATGCAAGGATGGAAAGCAAATTGAAACATTTGTTGAAACCCAAGCAAGGAATGGGGTAGAAGAACACAATGAATTGGGGACAACGAGAGGGAGAAAGAATCTGCTCACCACCATGATAATCCACGCAATGTGATACGCCTTGATGCACAACTTTGTCCCCACAGCATATTCACCAAAGGCATCCATGGCAGCATCGAAGAAGCACTTGTTGGCGAATGGGAGGCCGGACTCCTCATCATTCCCCCATGTGCTTAGTGGATCATCGGCAGCTGCAGCAGTTGGGTTTGGAGGGGGTTGGGGAGGGAACATGTGGGGCATTGGCAGGCCAATCTGGTCGGTCGAAGGAAAACGGGAAACGGTAAGAGAGAAACAGTGACCAGGGAAGGGGGTTGGGGGTGTAACCCCCCCAAAATCATGCAATACAAGGCATTGTGCGATGGAATACTCACTTGGGCAGTAGGTGCCCCAAAGATCGCACTTCAATTCCACGTCGATGTGTAACTCTGATGCACGCAGCCCACTAACTGCCACCCCCAGGGCCTCGAGCACCATCACAAAAATCCTGCGTCCAGAAAACCTTTGGAAAGAGTTGCTTTTAAGCTTTGTTGAATGATTTATAAACTTCTTGTTTGGTACGCTATTTTGAGAAAGTATATACCTTTTTCTGGATGCTTTGTCGAACGCTGTTCACATGCTTCTGCGATGCTTCTCTGTTCAAACCTCTCAGGTGAAAACCTTCGGCAGAAGTTTGGTTGGAGTTTCCGCAGAGCAATTTCGGAGATTGGATCTCATTGCATTGTACTCTTCAAGGACATCCGGTTTAGTTATAATGAAGTTGGATTGGAGACTTGCAATGGTTAACATGTTGTTTAACAAGATGTTTAGTTGCCTCATCCTAGCATCCAAAATAACCATTACAGAAGCGTTGGTAAATGGGTTTTATTCTCAACAAAAAAGGCACATACAACAGCATCCTACACCCCACCCTCTCTAGTCAAAGACCCCCGCCAGTTAGGGTGATCTGCATCAACCTGCTTCTCATGCTCCCGTAAACTATGCCTCCCACTACACCCCATGTCTCGTGCTCTAGGCCGAGCATGCTCGCCCCTACACCTAGCCCCCATGATCCATGCCTTGGCTGCGACCCCACTTCCTGCCTCTCTTCCTGCATCTCCCATCCCTCCTTCACTAATTGTGGTACTATTGCCCTGCCCATGCGTCCACTGCTTCCTCACATGTCCAGCCCTGTCATGCGTCTGCTGCTCCGCCTTAGACATCCTCCAGTCAAGCCTTTACTGCTGCTTGCTTTGTCCTATCCGGTCATGCCTATACTGCTGCGGCCCTTGCACCACTCCCCTCCGTAATGCTGTCCCCCTTTCTCTATCCACACGTGCCTTCCCTGATGCCCCCCTTGCTGTCTCCACCAATGCCTCTCCTCGCACGTATGTGATGCCTCTCCTGCTGTCCCCTTTTGTAAACTCCACGCATGCCTCATCTGCAGCCCCCCTTGTCTCGTCACACCATCATTTGGCCCTCTTGCCTCCCCTTCTTTTGCCATTTTCGTGCCTTTTGCCCTTCCTCCGCTCCTGGCCCCCCTGCTTCTCATCCTCATCCTCATCCTCTTCCTCCTCTTTCTCCTCTTCCTCCTCTTCCTCCTCTTCCACTTCCCTCCAACTTCCCTTGCCTCTGCCTCTCTTGTGCTTTCTACCCTTCCTCCGCGACTGCCCCCCCTGTTTCTCATCCTCCTGCTCCTCCTCTTCCTCATCTTCCTCCACTTCCTCTTCCCTCCTGCTTCCCTGCCCTCTGCCTCTCTTGTGCTTCCTGCCCTTCCTCCGCTCCTGCCCCCCCTGTTTCTTATCCCCCAGCTCCTCTTCCTTCTCCTCTTCCTCGTCCGCTTCCCTCCTGCCTTCCCTGGTTTTCCCTCCCTTGTGCCTTCTGCCCTTCCTAAGCTCTTGCCCCCCCCGTTTCTCATCCTCTTCCTCATCCCTCCCGCCTGCCCTAGGTCTCTTGTGCCTTTTCCTCTTCCTCCGCTCCTGCCCCCACTGTTCCTCGTCCTCCTCCTCCTCCTCCTCCTCCTCCTCCTCGTCCTCCTCCTCGTCATCCTCCTCCTCCTCCTCCTCCTCCTCCTCATCCTCCTCCTCCTTATCCTCCTCCATGTCCTCCGAGTTGTACACCTCCTTTTCTTCCTCCTTCAGGTCCTTCGTTTTGGCATCAAGCTCAGCCTTCCCCCGGAAGGCCTCAAATCCTGACTCGTGAACATACAGCCCACGGTCGCCCCACTTGAAGTCCTTCATGTCTGTGTTGTACACAGGGGTGTGGCGTGTGAAGTGGTCCTTGATAATCCACCGCACATTACGGTGCAAACCCCCCATCCATTCACTGTTCTTCCGGTGGGAGTTGGAGACGTTCCAGTCAGTCCTCTTAACCTTTGATAAGCCCTGGTCAATCTGAAAAGGCATAGCACAGTATGGGATGGAGGAAAAACAGCAACTTCAGTGGACACTCGCGTGCAGAGTTTAGAGGCTGCGCTAAATGCCCCACATACCATGCCGAGGGACTATAAAACAGCATGCCAAGCTAGAGCATACCATGGGTTGAGCAATAATTGCGTACCACCATGATTGACCAGGCAATGTGGTATGCTTTGACGCACACCCGGCGCCCGACACATAAATTCCGAAATGCTTCCCGGACCGCATCTACAAACCGGCCGTTGGCAAACGGGAGCCCGTCTCTGTTGTTTCCCCACGAGCTGACCCGCTGTTTCCCTCTTGCGCGCATGTATGACAATGCGGGGAAGCATGAGACATCCGTGATCATGCATGACATGGTTTAGGGTTGTCCAAAGGGTATGGATGAACATCGAGGGCGGGGGGGAATGAATGGCGAGAGGGCGGGAGAGCAGGGGTGGGCGGGAGATAGGGGGAGGGCGGGAGAGAAGGGGAGGGCGGGAGAGAAGGGGAGGGCGGTAGAGGAAGGGAGGGCGGGAGAGAAGGGGGTGGCGGGAGAGAAGAGGAGGGCGGGAGTAAAACGGGGGGCGGGAGAAGGGGAGTGTGGGAGAAGAACCAACGGATGGCTGTCATGCGGATGTGTTTGCACATGCGCTACAAGCTTGGGCGAGGAGAGCAGGTATGTAGTCGCGTGCCAAAGTGGGGATGCATTGGGGGTATGTGCTTCATCAACGTGGGGCATGCACGAGGGGTGCATGAGAAGACATGTCAATAGGGGATGGAAAACAGTCACGCAAGTACTCACTCGGTTGGTATTTTTTCCACATCTTCCGCTTCTTCTTGGTGCCCATCCACAGTTCGGCTGCACGCAGGCCTTCCACCTTCTTGCTGAAAGTGACGAGCACTCTGCGCTTGAGGTGGAAGCCACGTTCGTTCTTCCATGACGTCCAGGCGCGTTTAAAAGCGCCTATGATGTTTTTGTCTTCCATAGCCTCTCGCAGCTGCATCATGTTGATGATGTGCGTCTCGCTGATAACCTCATACAACATCTGCACGCGCTGTTCGAGCGTTGGGTAGAAGTCTATGGCATGGTCTGGCGCCTCGAGGCACATCCGGTCCCGCCCCTCTGCGAAATGAACCTACGACAGCCGGATGGATAGGAAAAAAGGATATGTGGGTGACTCCCAAAGAAGGGCGGAAACCAGAGGTCGAGAGAGTGGGATTTTGGTAACACGTGCCGCAGGCCACCCACACCACCACCAGCACCATGAACAGGGGCTCTGGTTGAGGTAGGGGAGAGCAGGGAGATAGAGGGGGGAGAGAGGGGATGAACTAGTCTGAGTGAAATCATATGGGAGAGGGAGCAGAGTGTGAGAGCACCGTACGGACTGCGTAAGGGGTCATGTTCTCCTCGTACTAAGAGTCACAACCCCCCCTGCAGCCCGGCCCGCTACACGCTGCGCCGCATGCCACACACGCGACCAGAAGCACCGTTTAGAGGGGCTCTGGAAGAGGAGGGAGAAGGGTGGGATAGAGAAGGGGGGGGGAGGAGCAAGCGGAAAGAAGGGATTGGGCACGTGGGGATGACAGAGAGGGCTGCTGCTATCTCTGCGCCGCATGCCACCCACACCAGACCAGCAGCACCGTTTAGAGGGGCTCTGGAAGAGGAGGGAGAGGGGTGGGATAGAGAGGGGGGGGAGGAGCAAGCGGAAAGAAGGGATTGGGCACGTGGGGATGACAGAGAGTGCTGCTGCAATCTCTGCGCCGCATGCCACCCACACCAGACCAGCAGCACCGTTTAGAGGGGCTCTGGAAGAGGAGGGAGAGGGGTGGGATAGAGAGGGGGGGGAGGAGCAAGCGGAAAGAAGGGATTGGGCATGTGGGGATGACAGAGAGGGCTGCTGCTATCTCTGCGCCGCATGCCATCCACACCAGACCAGCAGCACCGTTTAGAGGGGCTCTGGAAGAGGAGGGAGAGGGGTGGGATAGAGAGGGGGGGGGAGGAGCAAGCGGAAAGAAGGGATTGGGCGCGTGGGGATGACAGAGAGGGCTGCTGCTATCTCTGCGCCGCATGCCACCCACACCAGACCAGCAGCACCGTTTAGAGGGGCTCTGGAAGAGGAGGGAGAGGGGTGGGATAGAGAGGGGGGGGGAGGAGCAAGCGGAAAGAAGGGATTGGGCGCGTGGGGATGACAGAGAGGGCTGCTGCTATCTCTGCGCCGCATGCCACCCACACCAGACCAGCAGCACCGTTTAGAGGGGCTCTGGAAGAGGAGGGAGAGGGGTGGGATAGAGAGGGGGGGGAGGAGCAAGCGGAAAGAAGGGATTGGGCACGTGGGGATGACAGAGAGGGCTGCTGCTATCTCTGCGCCGCATGCCACCCACACCAGACCAGCAGCACCGTTTAGAGGGGCTCTGGAAGAGGAAGGGGAGGGGTGGGATAGAGAGGGGGGGGGGGGGGGGGGGGGGGGGGAGCAAGCGGAAAGAAGGGATTGTGCGCGTAGGGATGACAGAGAGGGCTGCTGCTATCTCTGCGCCGCATGCCACCCATACCAGACAAGCAGCGCCATGAACAGGGGCTCTGGAAGAGGAGGTGGAGTGACGGGAGAGAGGGGGGGGGGGAGGAAATAGAACAGTTATGGTGAGCTCGCAGAGGTGGGGCAGAGTGTGAGAGTATCGTACGCCCAGCACCAGCGTCCGTGAAGCGGGGCGTACTGGGAGTGCCTATCACACCGCAGCCAGGCCGCTATCACTGCGCATAATGGTACAAACACTCTGACCAGCATAAAGAGGTGGGGGGAACGAGGTGTTGAGAGAGAGAGCTGCAGCTATCACTGAGCCCCATGCCACACATTGCTTAACACTTAAACATACCCACCTTCAGCAGCTTGGGCTTGGGCATCCCACGCGTTCGACAGACCGGTACGTCTACCGTCGATGGGCTTTCTGGCGCCACGCCTGGATCGAGGCCCACTGCAGATGGGCCGCTCGACAGAGACGCAATAGGAGGAGGCCTAGACGGAGGGGTGCAGGGTTTGACAGGTCCTTTGGCTCCTGGCCTTGCCTTGAGTGCCGCAATTTCGCGATCCCGCTGGGCAAGCTCCCGCATGAGCTGCTCCACCGTCTTGCCGCCAGCCACGTTGGGCCGACTGGATGCGCCAGGTGTGCCCATGCTCTCGCCCCTCCCCTCCTTAGTCGCTGGATCCATTTTCAAGTCTCCTCCTTCTCCCTTGCTATCCCGTACATCCCACATGGAGCCTTCCACACCGCCGCCACATTCACCCAAGGAATTCGCCCACACACCTCCTCCCACACCGTCATTGGCTGCTGCGGCGGCCGAGGGTTCGTGCCGCTTCGTTGCTCCCTCGATTTTCACCTGAACCGCGTGACCCCCCGAAAGCTTTGCATGCGGGTCCGTCGCTTCCCTGCCAAACCGCGCTGACCCCCAAGCGATCGGATCTCCCTTCCCAGACGAATCCATCTGCTCGCGTAACGCAGCATACGTGTCGGTGGCTTTCCGATCATGAGGGCTTGATGGACATCGTAGCCCCATGGACTCGTAAAAATCCAACTCCCGCTTCTCCTTGCTACGCACACCCACAATTTTAGCTTCGAATCGAGGTCTCTGGCGCTTGCCATGTGGTTTGGCACGACGCACACTCTGCTTATAGCTCTTCACCCGTCCTGTCTCCGATTTTTGCTTTCCATTGCCCTTCTTGGTCTTCCGCACACCCCTCCTCTTCAAAGGCCGAGCCTCCTCCTCATCCTCGCTCTCCGGCTCCAACTCCTCATCCTCCTCTTCCTCTTCCTCCTCCTCCTCGTCCTCGTATACTTCCTCACTCCCGGATGAGCTGCCTGACTCACTATCGCTGGATCCCTCCTCCGAACCCGACGAGCTCGAAACATACTGTTTCGTCCCTTGTCGAGCTTGTCTCGCATTTCGGTCGCGACCGGCCGAGTCCACAGCATTGCGTCGTTTGTACGGAATCACAGCTTCACGTCCATGTTCTTTCCCAGCAGTCACTGCTGCAGGCTTGTCCTCATCCTGATCGATACCGCCACCACCTCGCTGCTCTGCTAGCCCTGCAGCGAGAGGGATATGAGAGAGACAATCTCGGTGTCACGTCACTCACGACATAGTTGCTGGTGCAACAGGTAACAATATACAAGGAGGGTGGCAGCGAAGGCTATGCAACCTCAAAATCAACGACAAAAGTAGCCAGGAACCGCCAACCTTCTATAACGGGCCTGGGCAGCGCCTGCTCGTCGCCACCAGCCACATCCAGCGAGAGCCTCCCTGAGGGACTGCCCTTGGCCGCCGCCGCCGCCTTCTCGTTGTTGCGCTTTCCACCACCACGCCCTTCAAGCTCGCCATGTTCCTGCTCGTCGCCACCAGCCACCTCCTGCGAGAGCCTCCCCGAGGGACTGCCCTTTGCCGCCGCCGCCTTCGCGTTGTTTCGCTTTCCACCACTACGCCCTTCAATCTCGCCATGTTCCTGCTTGTCGCCACCAGCCACGTCCTTCGAGAGCCTCCCCGAGGGACTGCCCTTGGCCGCCGCCGCCGCCTTCGCGTTGTTGCGCTTTCCACCACCACGCCCTTCAAGCTCACCATGTTCCTGCTCGTCGCCACGCGCAGACATTCCTAGGCGGCCAGATGGACTGCCAGGATACTCCGCAGCCCTCCCGCTACGGTCATAACATCTACCGCGTTGTCTTGCACGCCTGCCTGCTGACGGAGCTGCGAGGGCGGACATCACAAGAACATTAGCAGTCCAGTGCGCGCTAACCTTAATTGCACGAAGTGGCATCAGTATGATCAGTCGATGCAGGGAGTAACGTGCTACTTAGAAACCGGCGATATTACACAAACACGCACCTTCTTTGACGGGTCCGCCGTCCTCGACCTCCTCGTCGCCTTCAGACGCAGCATGTGAAGTAGTGCCTCTCTTTTATTGACGGCGCTTACTCCTTTCGGTTGTCACGCTTGTCCTCTGACAATGTTACGGGGGAGCACAATCGGAGCTTCAGTAACGGGAACAAGTCAAACACGACGGCAAACCGCACTTACTGGATCGGTCGGAGGTAATTAATCATGCAAGTCTACCTTTCAGCAGATGGTACCAAAGACACGTACCTTTCTGGCCGGCTTTGGGACCGATGTCATCTAAGCGCCTCACGCGCCTCTCCCTTGGTTTTGGAGGGGAGGACACGCCCTTGTTAGCGTATGGCCCAACATCGCCGTCGCTATTTGATTCGTCACCAGATGAAGAGTCACGTCCTGACTCAACGTTATCACGCGCCGACGACGCATTGTACTTGCGGTACTCGTTAACGATCTCGGCCATTTTATCTACTGTAACTAACTCCATATAAATTTTTTCCTCCAGCAATTTCGACGAGTCTGCCAAAACGATCGCCCCATCGGGCCCCTTAATCGTCTGACTATCCATTGCAATGTCTAGGTTTCCATTCACGCAGTAGTCTGAGGTGTGGGTTAGTTATGACGTTGCAACCTGACAGCTACGCTTCGCGCACTAAAAAATTGTTGAGCATAGAAGGGACGAGGATCAGACAGGGGCCTGGAGCAGATGACCGACCCACAAGCAGGCACGCAAGAGGAGCACGGAGGTGACGAGGGTTTGAGTGTTTCC